AGGCTTATGATAAATTATTCTACAGTCTTGTTAGGTCTGAGTCCTTCTGAATTTTGTGCAAATTCCAGAAATCCTGTGACACTGGATCCAGCAATGCAACCTAAATGGCTGCATTAATCGACCAACTGTGAGATTTTCACACGCTGGTGCTTGAAAGCATGCTGGTGAAAATTAGTGTAAACTGAGTCTGATGGGTCATAAATTCATCTGAATTTAATTTGAAAATATTTTTGTGAAAAAAAAGAAAACCCTGGGCCCTAAGCATACATTACCCAGTCTTTCATATAAAGGAGAGAACCCCTTGTGTTCTACAACCTAACTCCATATACCCAACAGGAAAGGCTGAAGGCAGATTACGCAAGTGACCAAATGTCAGTTATTAGCTGTCATTTTTATGCACAGCACAATATTTAATACTGTTCTAATGTGCTTTTGGGATATGCTAATTTCTTTGGGTTTTCTGCAATATTTAGTACAATTAGAAGAAAAATCATAAAATATTTTAAGTTGTAAAGATGGCCTGGGAAATGAAATGTTATGCTTTTTTATAATAAATTTGGCCCTTTTGGACAGCTCTGTTTTTAATAGTTGCCTAAGTAGTCTAGAACAATTTCAAAGTCAGGATAGCAATATTTCTTATAAGGGGACCAAATGTACTCTCTCTTCTTTTGTCCTCCACACTGCCCACTGAAGGCAAGCAACATAAAAGCCATACCAGTATACAATATCGTAAAACCAATATCGTAAACCTGCATCCACATAATGCAAAAATGATCATTATGGCCTGTAAGACCTGAAAAATAATCATGTGGTATTTAGTCCATATCGTCTACCCCTGCTGTGTGCTATTAGTTCTTTGCTCTTCCATGCTTGTCCAGGTGGCTGGGCTGGCAGCATGACCACGTTAACCCATCGGAATCGGCGGGCAGAGCCGGTGGTGGAGAGGCGGGAGGTAGAGGATGACACAGGCCGAGGCGCTATCCAAGATGAAGACAAGTGCGATTCTAAGGATCTCCGCCTCACCCTCATGGAGGAGATCCTGCTCCTGGGCCTAAAAGACAAAGAGGTACTGCAATGCCCTGATCTCGGATCAGTGGCAAGTGGTGTAGGGAGCAACTGCTGATCTGTTCATTTTTTTCTGAGTTCTAATCTGAGATTAGTGTGACCAAGGGGAGTGGGGGCCAAGAGGGTGGCTTGTAATTCCCTCCCATAGAGTGTTAGGCTTCCAGGGTATGTTTTGTTACTGGTTCTAGGAACACTGATCATCTGACATTTACATCAGAAGTGTTACAACATCTAAAAGGTTTATCCATGATGTAAAAAGAAAGGTCAACCCAAAACTGATATGGTCATCATACCCAAATGCCTACAAATGATGACAACTACCCTAAATCAACATGTGGGGACCTTTTGAGTCTTCTGGCAGCTGTATGGCATATCTTCTGGCATGAAATCTTTGGTACAACTCTTTAGAAGTGGGAGCTTTGCTCTCAGTGTTTGGGCTTTGTGACTTTGATGATAGTATTTAGGTTCTTGAAGTCTGAATGAGGATCAGTTGTCTGTGTCAGATTTCAGTCTTTGTACTTATACTTTTTGTGCCTTTTGCAGAAATTGAAAGAACATTTTTTTGTTCAATTACAACAAATATAAGACTGGAGTCGCTCAGGACAAGGCATGATTGGATTGAAAAGAGGCCTTGGTCTATATTTGTTAATCATATCCAATGTAATTTGTACTTTTTATACTCCTATAGGTCTTAGAAACTGCCTTCTCCATTCATTGAAATAGTTATACTCTCAGTTTAGATGCATTCAAGTTTTTTTTAAATGTGTACCTCACTGTTGTCTAAAAATGATGTCTCTTCCATTTTCTTGAGGCACCTCTTGATATAGCAGAAAGATAGGACAGGCAGACAGGACTTTCCTGTTATTTGAAATGTTTAGACAGGGTTGATGCGTACTAAGATGGTTCTTGCAGTATTTTTTCACGCCCTGTTTTACTAGTCGGGTAACATTGCAAGAACCTCATAGTCTTGCTCTAATGTTTGTTGTGTGTTTTGTAGATCTCCAACTCTGCAGAGACAGAACTTAATTTGTGGAATGCGCTTGATATATCTGTTGATCCTTGATACTCTCTGTTGAAGCTTTGATCACTCATGTATTTTTTTGGTCAGTATTCAGTGGGTTTCAAGCTATTTTTATACAAATCAATTATGTCTTATCTTGATAGTTGCTTTCATGGTCTTTCTGGTTTGTTGTCGCAACAGCTCAACTGTTACGGTCAGAGTCAGCTCAGTTAATAATTGGCAAGCCTAATGGATGTTAAGTTTGTCAACGTATGTGGAGCATTTTAACGCATCCTGTGTTGTCGATTCCATGTCCTGCTTCAAGCCAGTTGGCCTTTTGATACGTGTCTTGAACAAACATCCTTGAACAGCAGCCAATGGGAAAAGCACACCTTTTGAATAGGTACAGAGTAATCAGTCACCTATGTACACTGTAAAAGCCTTGATGTATAAAAATGATGCCTCACACTTTGTGTGTGTGTGAGTGAGAGAGAGAGAGGGAGAGAGACAATAGTCATGCACAAGAGGGAGCAGGCACAAAATCAGCTTGTGTTGCTTAGGTACAAGGTGTCACTCTTATGCCTACAGCTCTGTCTCCAGAGGAGAGTCATGAAAAGTACTCATGTTGTATTGAGTACCTGTTGTTGAGTGTCTGTCTGTGTACCTATTGTTTTTCATATGTATGTTTTGAACACTGATGATGTAAACCGGTGAATTTAAAACGTGTCTAGCCTGGAGCTAATTTCCTCTCCTCATTACTGCCAGTGGTGTCACTGGAACTGAGGCAGCTCTGCACTGTTTTGGTCAGTCGGTGAGAGGCACTAGGAAATTATCATGAGGAGCTTTTACGTTTTTTTTTTTTTTTTTTTTTTTAGTGCACAATATATATTCTGTGCTACTTTAGTTGAACTTCAAGGCAATGTTCTTTATAGTTAAGTGCTTCCTAGAACAGCTGAGTGGAGTATGTGCTGTGCATTCAGGTGGTCAAATATCACCTGTCAGGTGACAGTGTACCTGTTCAGCAGGCTTTCAGTACTCTGTGAAGTCAATGGGTCTTGCACAATGCTGCACGTCTGAATGATTAAACAAAGGCATTCCTGAAAACTAGGTGTGGTGTCATTGACCATGAGCCGCCCATAGGGAATTGCACTGTATCATCACCTCAGCAGTGATTTTGGAGCCATCCAGCGCCATCCAGGACTTTTGGCCACTGACGCTGCCAATTTAAGGTTATAAAAGTACTTACCGTTACTCCCAAGAGACAGGAAGTCACCAACTGTTACTGTGAAGCTGCTTCTGTCCTGTTGTGCCTCCATTTTCCATTGTAGAAGTTGCTTGTGGACAGCTTAGAGTGCAACCCTTATGTTATTTTCACACCTAAATATATTTCTGATTTTACATTCTTGTCAAGTGAGTATTTTAAACGTGGTGCTTGTGTCTTTTGCTGTGCATCATTCTTGTTGCACGGCTAGTCTCGCTGCGTTTTGCTGTGGCTCTGTACAACAGTCACAGAAAACAGCTGTAAACCCGAAACCTGCACTGAACAGGAATCGGTGTAAAGTTTTAAAAATTTGCGTGGTATCCACATTAGCTCATAGGGCCCTTGAAAGATTATCGTCACTTGTTGGACTTGACACACCACATTGTCAATTTTAGGGTGTGTGCATCAAAATTAGCAAAAAATGCTGTTGAAACTTGTGGAAAACTTTCACGTTTCATGGAGACTAAAATCATAATATGTTTTAGGGTTGAGAAGTTAGCTTTGGTTTATTAGCAGAACTACCCTGCCTTCTTTGGATTTTACTAATGCTGGCCATTGGTTAGCCTCAAAGTTTTATCACAATTGAGATTCTTTGAATTTCCTTTAGACTTTCTACAAAAAACAGGATTTTCAGGTTTGGAATTGTTGTGGGTGGTGTAATCGCTCTGCATGTTGTAATATTTTTCCCATTTTGGCTTTGTCACTTTCTGCTTGTAATTGTAGCAAAAATAACAAATCTGTTGTGACCAAGGGCTTGTTCTCTTTAAGCATTACATAAACGTTACGTCACTTCAAAGTTCCATCACTCAGACTCCTAAGGTCAACAGTTTAAATGGTTGCTGGAAGGCTTTAGCCGGATCAGTAAAGAATGCAGCGTGCATTCTCATTAGTAATAAGATGTCTCTGTTTAAGTTGCCTATAGTAAGCAATATGAATTTCACCATGTGTATTGCTACCATGGTTTACCATACCCTCAGTGAAAGTGCTTGTTAATATTGGGGTCAGCTGCCTCAAAAAGCTTAATCACTTGTTCAATTAATTGTTCAGGCTCTAAATTTAAACCACCATCTTAAACATTCAAATTGGATACTAACTATTATCAGTATTTAATTATCAGTTCAATGAAAGTTTACTTATAAAAGCTCAGCCAACAGCAAGTGTTTGCATACATGGCATGCTTCCACAGGTGGAGTTGCTTTAACAGCTGCACCACCCCACCCTGCTGACCTCACAGTGCAGGCTGCTGAGAGCATGATGCATTTCCTGTCTCCACCCATCCTCTCAGGGCTACACGTCCTTCTGGAACGACTGCATCTCCTCGGGCCTTCGCGGTGGCATCCTGATCGAGCTGGCCCTCAGGGGCCGCATCCACCTGGAGCCGGCCACCATGAGGAAGAGGAAGCTCCTAGACCGCAAGGTAGGGCCACCTGAGGAGCCCGGCAGCCTGAGCAAGAAGCGCAGTGGACAACGACAACAAAAAAAAAAGGACAATCAACATCACACTTAAAGGGAATGCTATAATTAAAAAATATACATTATTGGCATTTAGCAGGCACTTTAACCAGAGCGACTTACATAGGTTACAGTTTTACATGTTATCCATTTATACAGCTGGATATTTACCAGCTAGGCAATTCTAGGTCACGTACCTTGCCCAAGGGTACAGCAGCAGTGCTGCAGTGGGGAATTGAACTGACAACCTTTAGGTTATGAGTCCTACTTCTTACCACTATACTACACTGCCGCCCCAAAGGTCCTCGCCAGGCAAAACTCTCAGTAAACAGCAACAGCTGATCAGAATTGAAACCCTGGGAGGAGGTTGGTCTCCAGACAGATGCTGTACATTGACGGTTGTATGCACCTGTTTGTCTGAGAGTTGGAACTCGCATGTGAAATTGCATATTTTTTGGCTTACACTCAGAAATTGTCTCTTTACTCTGAGTGTTACTGCACACATGCAGAAACTGGCGATCATACCACCATATGCAAGGCAAACCTGCAGTGTTTTCAGCTTATATAATGACTCCTTTTTAGGAGTCATTCTATAACACAAAGGAAGAAAGAATTTTCTATTTACAATGTATAGAGGAACCACACTCACCATAGCAACAGTAACCATTTACCTTTGGGAAACACCATATTGAGACTGAATTTTATGCTTCCCATAAAAAGTAAACTTGCGCACTCTTGGAAAGGTTGGTATAGGTACTTTGCTCTTTCAAGGAAGACAATGTGCAAGGATGAGACCATTTGAACAAACATTATTGTATTTGCAAAAGAAAGAGATGGTTTAGCAAGATGTGATGAATGAGGTCTGCTTACGTCTGATCACAGCTCATTTTTCAAAGTACACAAAAGCAAGTCTGAAGTGCGCTTCTGTACAGTAAGGAGGGTGTCTATTCTGTAAATGCATACTATGGCGTTCTTTGCAGGACTCCCTGCAATGAATGCCTGTAGTGTGCCCTGAGCTACTTAAAATGAAGAATGATTTACTTCACTAGTGGTTGTGTATAAATAATTACTAAATCAAAGCAGATTTGACTCAACTTGGCTTCATCGTTTTCAAGTAACATTTTCAATGTTATTTCAGTGGTGATTTTTTAATTGTTTGAGTAAAGTTTTATTGGTTTAGCGCTAACATATCTGTTAAAAATCATGAAATAGAGGAGGTGTTTGGAAGTTCTGACTAAAATGGCATTGAATATATTACGTAGCCTAGCTTCACATTTCTGAGGGGTTTCTTGGAATGCAGATAACAGTTCGGCAGTCTAAACCTAAAGCGTGGTCCTAATGACCAGACAGCCTTGCTTGTGGAGTGGACTTATTGAGCTGTGGTCAGCAATCAAAAATGTTGTGATAGCAATTCAGTGAAGGTTTATCCATCCTAATTTGCGGATCCATTTTTATCTGACTACCTTTTAAAATAAACCTGAGTTATCTTAGCATTTTCTAGTCAAATGTATTTGGCATAGTTACACAGATTACAGGTGCACTGTAGCAGAGACACCTTTCTTAAACACAGTTGTGCTTTTTCTTTTGATACAATACAGACATGCATAAATAGTGGGTAAATAACATAACTGTAATAACTGTAATTCTTGGAAGTGAAATAATATGAGAAATGAAACAATGACCCTAACTGTATCAAGGATGGTTAACTGACTCAATTTTGCTGTTGTGCTCACCTTCTCATAACTTGCTGTTGAAAAGTATTGATTTGGCCTTTAAGCAGACAGTGCAGTGTAGTTAAGAGTGTAAAGCCACATTCAGAGGATGCAGGATCTCTCAGATAATTTCCCAGGGCTTGGTCGCCTCTGCTCTGGAGTTTGATTGGATGGAGGAGTCTTTGTCAGATTGTGTGGTATTCATGACATTCCACCCCTCTCCCAGGTGATTTTCAAATCAGAAGCCCCCACAGGTGACGTGCTGCTGGATGAGGCCCTGAAACACATTAAAGCCACTGAGCCCCCAGAAACAGTACAGAGCTGGATCGAGCTCCTCACAGGTGAGGCGAAGTTTGACTAACAGGACACTGGTCTTAACCACAGGGTTGTAGGTTTGGAGCCTATGTTGGTCTCAATAGACTTGATTCAGGAGTACTTTGGAAAGTTTCCTGGAAGAAGTACCCCAGAAAAGGGCTTTTACCAGTCATTTAAAGATCAACACTTTTAATACTTTCAGTATTCCAGTTAGTCTGGGGAACAAGTTTTAGACCAAATTTCCTGTTAAACTATTTGCACAGTGTTTTGCGTAATGAACACACCCTTAGTTTATACTTTAGGTAAATAGGGAGTATTCACAGTCTTAAAACTGACACCTGAGGATAGTCTGAGAAAACAGAACACCTGGACATTATTTTATTGGCCATGGCATGCATTCAAAAGTCTACCCGGAAACGACCATTCCTAGCAACGGGTGCTCGATACATACAACTGAAATCTTTCGATGGGGGTTGACTTCAAGTTTCAGTAAAATGTGTATGTTGACTGTAAATAAAACTATAGAACAGCCTAGGGAACTCCTTATCATATTCATTCATTATTTCCTTGCATGTATGTGTGTATATCTGTGTCTGCCTGCGCACATCTGTGCAAAATAGGTGAGACCTGGAACCCCATGAAGCTGCACTACCAGCTGCGCAACGTACGGGAGCGGCTAGCCAAGAACCTGGTGGAGAAGGGCATCCTGACCACGGAGAAGCAGAACTTCCTGCTGTTCGACATGACCACGCACCCGGTCACCAACACCACGGAGAAGCAGAGGCTGGTGCGGCGGGTCCAGGACAGCCTGCTGGACCGCTGGGTGAACGACGTGCAGCGCATGGACCGGCGGGTGCTGGCGCTCATCGTGCTGGCGCACGCCTCGGACGTGCTGGAGAACGCACTCACCTCCCTGTCCGACGAGAAGTACGAGATGGCCTCCTCCCGCTCCCGCGCCCTGCTGGACAGCAACCCGGACGTGGAGGGCAACAAGTCCCAGGCCTGCGAGATGATCTGGGCCGTCCTGGCTGCCTTCAACAAGGCCTGAGTCAGGGAGAGGGTGGGCGACACGCACCACCGTGGGTCCACTTTCGGCACGTCCTCGTTCCCTGTGACTGATTCGCCCCAGCAGAGCTGTCCCCAGCCGGGGTGAGGGGTGCAGTAAGGGAAGGTGTCGGGGGGAGAGGGTCTTGGAAATTTGGAGCATTTTGAAGCCTAACTATTTTTTTGTATTAATGTCCCGGGGGACTTCTCAGCAGGTCTTAAAAATTGGCACTTTGAGGACTCTGGGCCTCTGACAGGAGCATAGCTTTCTACAAAAATGCCTGATTCCATCATCTTTTTTTGTTTGTTTTGTCTATTTCTGTCTGTTCTGCCAGAGTTTTGACATTAACAGTGACTGGATCTCTGGTAACAGTTATGGAAAAGCAGACACTTTGTGTTAATATTGGATAGCAGCTTGGGGAAAACCATTTTCCAGCTTTGTGTCTTAAAAGAGAAGCTTTGAAAGGAAAGCAGGCAGACAGCTCGCACTCTGTGAAGTGCTTTATGAAGGCGCAGAATAGTTTGCTTCATTGTTAAAAGCTAGCGTATTTGAGTTTACTGCTTTGCCCCAAGGGACACAATCTGATGGGTATCTGTACAACAAGGCAATATGGGTAGTCATTACTGTTTGTTTTTTTTTGTACTCTGTACTCCTCTCTGTTTTGTAGAAAATGTTAATATATTCAAATGAAGGGCTTTTGCAAAATCACTTTCACTTTTAATTTCATGGTTGTAAAAAAAAAAAAAAATCTGGTATTTGACTGTTCTAACATACAAAAGAGCTATAAATGACATATGCATATGCATTCAATATCTATAAATTTGTATTTTAACATATGTATATTTAATGCACATTTTGAAAAGTATGGTCAAATATCAGACCTTCTAATCTATTATTACTGATTATAATATAATTGATAATTTATGGTGTCTGAGTTGAGAATTTGGGGTCCTTTGAAGAACATAGGCACTTTAGCTGTCTGTAGTGAAGCCTGATCCGTACAAACAGGAATTCATCCGTTCATCACATCTTTTTTGTTTGCTGCTTTTTTCATTTTTCTTTTAAATAAAAATTAAATTAATCAATGTGTACTGTACTAGCAAAGGCCATACCATACATTTAGAATTTAAATTCTAATTGTATTTTTCTTTTATAGATAATGCATCACCATAATCCAGTGAACCTCTCTCCTTGTTTGGAGAGACATCCTCTCTAAATAATGGTATTACAGCTGATGACATTATTATCAAGTAAGAACACAGCCCCAGAATTCTGGTTTCTGGTTTTCTTAAGACCTGAGCACTGGAATATTTTCTGCCTGTACACTATGGAATTAATGATCTACCTTGTGTCAAATATACAGACCACCTCAAGCATCCTGGCATTGTGTTGTAAATTCATTTTAGAAGGAGCATATAGACCCACCTTCATTATAGCTGCATAGAGTGTGTAATCATTTTCTTGGTGTTGATGGTTTATACATAAAATCTGTTATACAAAATTCTCTTGCATTCCATATATATGGTCATTATTTTCTTTGTGTGAAAGGGTTCTGTACAGTCAGCAGGTGCAGAAGTCCTGTATCCCGCATTGCTTCATAACATCAGTTACATGGAGCCACACAACGTAAGTAATGCTGTTTAATCTTTTTCAAAGGGCACTAGTTTTCCTGCCTTTGTTTATAGAAGTCCAACAGTTCTTGACACAAAAAAGAACTTGTATATGTATGTACTAGTTATGCAGTTATCAGGTCTGCAGTCTGTGAGAATTAAACCATCATTTCTATGCAGGCACCTATACTGTAAATGGACAGTAGACACTAGACACTAGACACTAGACTCCCGTGCCCATAGCAGTGCCTTCTAAGGTGTTCTCCAAGGATCGACACTGCACAGATTCACAAATATATCTGTTATCTAGATACTCCCTGCCTCTTCTCTGACCATCCATATACTATAGGGGTAAGAGTGAATATTTTATTTTGCAAATAGCTGACCTTGATTTCCTATGTGTTACTTGGAGCAGTATTTAAATGTTTTATAATTTACAAAAAAGGAAGGAAGATGCAGAGGTGCCCTCTGTCACGCTCTCCTTGAACAAAGGCCTGAGCACACAGTAGCATATTGAGTTGGATCAGGCTGATACTGCTCATTTTCCTGCCTGAGACTGTGTGAGCGCCATAATATGCTCCCAGCTCATTGTGATGGCATAGGTCACACT